GGAGGGGCCCAGGTGACCGAGCTGGGATTGGAACCTTGTCTGCCTGACTCCCAAATCGCTGTGTTTTGCCTAGGGATAGCACTGGTTTCCCTTCTAAACCCCAGTTCTTTGAGAAAAAGATGCCTAGTGATTTAAGATATTTTTGAATCTTGGGAAACTAATTTTAATGTATTCATTTTTCTTTATTTCTAAGAATTCCTTCTTTGCATAAAACTGTTACTAGGTAGCTGAAAGAGAGCTTGAATTTATTAGTACAATAGAATTGAATGTGTATATCAGAAATTAGGTCCATATCAAGCAGGGATTTCAGTTCAAGTTAAGATTACTTTCTGAGGTAGGAAATTTCTTGGGTAACACAGGTCTGTACTGTACTCTTCACATTTTATTTTTCTATTTGTTTATGCTGTTTGTTTATTTATTTTTCTCCCCCCCCCCCCCCCCCCCACATTATTTTAAAATTAGTTTAGCCCTGATCAGTGTGGCTCAGTTGGTTGGAATGTCATCCCATACAGCAAAAGGTGGCGGGTTCGATCTCAGGACAGGGCACATGTGAAAGGCAACTGATTGATGTTTCTCTCTCACATTAATGTTTCTCTCTCTCAAATCAATTTAAAAAATTAGTTTCCTTGTTAATCAATGCCCCCACACCCCACCCCTTTGTGAGCAATTTTAGTAGGAACAGAAGGACTGATAGTAACCTATAGTTATTTCAGAAATATTAATGCATTTGTGAATTGATTGTATTTGTGTAGCTTTATATTTTAGAACTTAAGACTGTGTTGCTATGTTAATTCTTGGGACTTGCTAAAATAATGACAATAATAAAAGCCAACATATTTTGAGCTAGGGCCGTGGTCGGCAAACTGCAGCTCGCGAGCCACACGCGGCTCTTTGGCCCCTTGAGTGTGGCTCTCCCACAAAATACCACGTGTGGGCGCTCACGTACAGTGCGATTGAAATTTTGTGGCCCATGCGCAGAAGTCAGTATTTTGTGGAAGAGCCACACTCAAGGGGCCAAAGAGCAGCATGTGGCTCGCGTGCCACAGTTTGCCGAGCTGCAGTTTGCCGACCACTGAGCTAGGGTATTCTAAGTATTCTAAGCTCTTTATGATTGTTAATTCATTTAATCCTCAGGGTAACCTTATAAAGTAGTTAATATTAGCCCCATTTTGCAGATAAAAAAATGAGACTCTGAAGTAAAGTAACTTGCCCAGATCCAACATAACAAGTAGTAGTGCTGGGATCTGAACGAAGCATCCTGACTCCAGAGTCCTTTCTTTTAAGCAGAGAAATAATAAGTAATGCTGGACTGCCTGGGTGAAAATTGTCACACATCCAATCTCAAGTTCTAAGAAAAAAGCTAAAATATATAATGTTAAAAAACTAAGTACAACACACAGTTTATTTAATCACTGTTTGATGTACTTACCTGAAAAACAGAAATAATACCTACTAAACAAGGTGAGAACTAAATGGGTTGATGGCTATAAAAGGGCTTAATTATTATCTCTATATATAAAAGCCTAAGCGACCATTACAACCAAACGACCGAAACAACCAGAATGACCAGACGACCAGCCGGTAGCTATGATGCACACTGACCCAGACCTTGCTGCTGGGGCCCTGACAGCCCTGAATCTGGTTCACCCAGACAGGAGGGAGGAGGGAGCCCGATTCCTTGCAGAATCAGCTGTTGGTTAGCTTGCTGCTGGGGCCAACCTCCCGTGGTCCTTCTCCCCCACCCCCCCCGCTGGCCGCCCGCCCCCCACCCCCCCACCATCAACCCCGATCACCGGCCAGGCCAAGGGACCCCACCCATGCACGAATTCATGCACCAGGCCTCTAGTATATTATAAAAGGGCTTGGAACAGTGCTTATACTTGGTAAGCACTATATTAAGTATTACCTAATATCATTATGTTTTATTAGCATATACATTGTCCATCTAGCTTTGGTCTGTTGTTTCGTTAAAGCCTACACTTGACAGGTCACTGTATAAATGAAAATGTATGTCAGACTAGTGTTTAAATGTTTTTGAAGTCTAAGTGAAACAAGTTCCCAGGGACAGTGAGTAGGGGCATTTTCCTGGCCTGTTTTGGGATCTGGCCAGTGTGGCTTCTGGCCAGCTCTGCAGACATGAGTAGCTCCTAGGGTCCCTTTCCCACCTACCTGGCTTTCCCTGTAGCTGAGCAGGTCTGTGTGTTGCAGGTGGGGCTGGGGAAGAGGAAGTGTCTGTATGCCCTGGAGGAGGGGATCGTCCGCTACACGAAGGAGGTCTACGTGCCCCACCCCAACAACTCGGAGGCTGTGGATCTGGTCACCAGGCTGCCCAAGGGCGCTGTGCTCTATAAGACTTTTGTCCACGTGGTTCCTGCCAAGCCTGAGGGCACCTTCAAACTGGTCGCTATGCTTTGAGCTCCTGGTCGAGGCTGTTGGACTGAGACTGGAGCCCAGGTGACAGGAGCGGGTGGTACCAGAGTCAAGGGTTGGGGTGACAAGGCTTCCTGAGGAAGAAGTCTGTGAAGTGACTTTGGAGACCTGACCTGGGGCAAGAATAAAGTTAGTTGGAGTCGTGAGTCTGTGTATTTGGGGACAACCTGGATGGAGCTGCTTACTGATTTGTTGGTCTTTCTGCATGTTCTCTAGTGCACACCCAGGGGGAACCTCCAGCAGGAAAGAGGAGCTTGAGCAAGAGGGGACTTTCTTTGAGGAGGGGATTGTTTTAGTCCATCCCCCAGAGGGGAAGGAAGGGGAGAGCCTGTGCTTGAGGGTGTCACTGCTCCTTCCCCTCCTGCATCCCACAGAAGTTGGGCTGGGCCCTGGGAAGAGCAGGTAGGAGGGGCCAGCAGAGAGAAGCACTCCAGAGATGGCCCCAGGACTCTTGGCACCTGTCCACTGCCTGGACCTCAGTGAGGCGTCCCATGGTGCTGAAGCAGGGAGGGCAGCCGTCCTGGGGATCATGAAGGACTCAAAGTGAAGCTCAGGACTTAGGTTTGGTTTCTGTTGAGCCTCACAGCCAGCCAGGATCTCTGCACTTGGCACTCCCAGATTCCCTCCCAGTCGACTTTGCTCCACCCCACTTCCCATTGACCCAGGTAACTGGGCTCTGAATGCCAATCGGCTATCCTCTGGTCTTGGCTTCCCACCACGAATGAAACCTAGATGTCCGTGGTTGCCTGGAAACCCGGCATGCAGGCCACAGAATACAAAAGCCCTGGCTCTCCCTCCAAAAGAATTGTGCAGTGCCCGGGCCCCTGCCTTCCCCAGCCAGCCCCCACCCCCACCACTACCCCACTGCCTGACAAGAATCCTGATCTTGACCCTCAGGGAAGGATTTCAAAGAAGCCTCAACAAGCCCAAGCCCCGAGACAGCTAACCCTACAGAAAGATGGGGTGAGGAACACTGTTGGCAGAGAAGCTGCACTGACCTGGATGGGGGAGAGGAGGGCCTTCACCCCCAAGCCTGTCCTCTGAGTCTGTCAGGAATCAGCGGAGCCTGGTCCCTGGTCTGCAGTGATTCTACTCATGGGGCCAAGACTTGCCGCCAGAGCGATGGGGGTGGGGCTGGACTTGTCCTTCACGCAGGTGTGCAAGTTAGAATCACCTGTGGGAGCTTTGAACCCAGACATCCTGGTCGTAGTTGGGTTCCCACTTGAGGCCAATTAATTCAGAGCCTTGGTGAGGATCACGATCCACTGGACTAAAAGTGCAAAGGCAAGATGTTCAGCAGGTGACAGTAATGAGTAACGAGGACCTGGTGTGTCAGTGAGAGTGGCAGGGACTGAACCAGGGGCATGTGTCCCACCCAAGCTCACACATTAAGACCGAGAACCTGTACTAGCCTGACAGTAGCAGAGCCACAGCCCGGGTCAAACTCACAGGCTGGTCCGAGTCCTTAGCAAGCAGTCTGAATGTTCTGATACTTACTACCTGGGTCAAATGTGCTGACCTCAGTTTTTCTTTTTATTTACCTAAGATTTGATGTTAAAATATTCTAGAGAACGGGAGTAGAGCTTCCCGATATTCACTAAAGTAGGGGCCAGAAGAAAACAGTTATCTTAGCCCCTGAACCCAAACACTATTTTCTTAGAGTTCTTGCTGTTAGGTCCCTGCCCTTAGCAGAATGTAGGAGCAGAACGTAGTGACAGAGTGACAGGAGGCCTGTCCATCTGAAACCTGCTGCCACCACCTAATGGTTGTGACTTTGGGCTCATCATTTCAGTTTCTGGATGTGCTAAATGAAGGTAAGAAAAGCCTGCCTCAAAGGTTTCTGAGGATTAAACGAGATACTGCACACAGGGGTCAGCACAGTGGCTAAACAAATGGAAAAACCCAATGCCCTTATTGGTGGTCAGGGGTGCCCTCTCCTGGCCACTAGGAAAACTTCACATGCGGCAGCCAGGGCAGGCTGAGCTGACCAGGTCAGCGTGATTGGCTGATAAAGGCTAAGAACCCTTCGCCCTCACCCCCACCTGAAGTAAGGTGAAGGACTGCTACTGAGAGCCCCTGCTAACAATGGCAGGAGAGGAGGAGGGAAGCTGATGACCCTTCCCATCATGGCCCTCAAGGGATCAGCTCTGAAGGGAGCCGGTGGGCCATGGCCGTGACCCTCTGTCCTTGAGGGCGCTCCATACTCAGGACTGGGCGGGAAGCAGAGTGAGGAGGGCTTCTGGGATGAGCCCTGGAGACACCAGAGCAGCAGCATCTGCCTTGGCCTGGCAGCAGGGGAGGAGGTGCTGGGTCAGGACTCAGGAACTGAACGGGCTCTCCCGCAGGCCTCCTGGGAGGCAGTGAAAGTCTCTTCACCCCTCCGAAAAAGACAGAGCTGAATTAGATGGGGTTTTGCATCCCTTCTGGTTCTTGGGTAGATTCTAAGCTGTCGCCATTCTGGAATGAGACCTCCACCTGGTGGCTGCCAAAGTGTCAGCCAAGACTCATAGGAGGAGAAGGCCGAAGGGTGACGGCTTCCGACGCCCGGAGGAAAAACACAGAGGCTCGGCTTAGAGAGATAGAGATATATTTCTTCTGTTGCATATATCAGACTCCACACTGAGCTTCAGGCACAATGCTGCTCCAGGCTCTTCTGAGAGGCCTGGCCGAGAGTTCTTCCCACGCTGCTCGCGAGGGCTCGCCCCACAGGCAGGAGCCCCGGCCCTGCTTGCAGTTCTGGGTGCCTGGGAGACTGCACTGGTCTCAGTAGGCCCTGGTGTCTTGCCTTTCCCATCAAGGAGCAGGGCATGCCGGGAAGCCCTAGAGCCTGCCCCATCCCCTCACTGCGGTCCCCTGGCCACGAGAGGAGAGGCTGTCCCACTCGAGTCCAGCTCTGCAGTGCTCCCCCAAATCACCTGTTCTCAGGTCCTCAGGGCCTGGGATGGCACTTACAGAGCCTCAGCCATGAGCGCCAAGGCCCAGGCTGGGGGCGAGGCCCTGGAGAGGGAGGCAGGCCCCACCCCCAGAGCAACAGCAGATGGGCTCATCAGGCCCTGCTCCCCAGAGCCATGGCCCACTTCCTGGGGCTCCTCTGAGCCCTATTGCACATCTTTTGTTTCCAGTTCCTCCCCCACCACCCATTTTCCTTTAAAAAAAAAAAAACAAAAACTAGTGGAGAAGGATCGGAAGCGTGGGGCGTGGAAACTGGAGCCCTTCTCCCCACATTGCTGCCACCCGCGGGTCCCCAGCAGAGCCATCAGCAGTAGTAAGGACTACGCCCATCTTCCTTGCGGGTTCTTGATGGCTGTCACGGGTGTGTTGCCTGGGCCTCTGGTCCTTGCGTGTGGGGGGACAGCCCTCCGTTGTCTGTAAGGTGCAATTCCCCGGTGTTCTGGAGGTGCTGGCTGGGCCCTGCTACCTGAGTCGCCCGTCGGCTTTGACAGGCCCCAGCTCCGATTTGGGGTCGGGGAACAGAGAGCTCCAGCTGGTCCGTCTGCAGAGCTCCAGGGAGGGGCAGGCGGAGGGGCCCGTGGCGCACAGTCCAGCCACAGACCAGAAGCCGCTCAGTTCCCCATCTGTCCAGGCCTCGAGCGCCGGGCCTGTGAGCAAGGCGTGCCGCCGGGCGGCCTCCTCGGCGGGCTCCGGCTGAGGCAGGCTCAGGATGCCACTCAGGCCCTGGAAACTCTGCTCCATGTACTCGTTGTGGGGGGGCCCGGCATGCAGCCAGCTGGCTTCATCTGGGGGTGCAAGAGCACGCAGTCAGCACGCCTGGCCCCACTGATTCCATGAAGGCCAGACCCGGGAAGTCAGGTCTGGGCACCCCACTTCTGTCCCAGGTCTACTACTGAGTCACACACACCTTGCCGAGTGCCCTGGGCTAATCCCCAGGACTTTCTGTGCCTGTGGAACCATCAGTTTATAAAATCAAGACAGTCACCGCTGAATTCCCCACTGGAGGATTCAGTGAAACAGTAGGTTCGAAGCACATTAAAAAATAAGGTAACTTTCCCGCCCCTTCTCAACCATCTCCAGTGGTTCCGAGCCGTCGGAAGCCTCATGCCCAGGCCCTCCAGCTGTGGGGCCCTGCTTCGCCAGCCTTCTTTCCTGCCACCCCTGCATCCCACTGCCCTCCACTCTGCTTCCCCCATGCCCCGGACACCTGCCAACTGTGCTCCCTCCACTTAGAACACCCTCTGTCTATAAAAATCCAGCGTGCTCAGGGCTCCGCTCCTATACCTGCCTGCCGTGGGGCTGCCTCCATTCCTCCCTCAGCCCCTGTCAGGCTGAGTCCTGGGAAAGCAGGGGTGCGGCTGCCTGCTCTGGATCTGCCACAGCCCCCACTACTCCATCCTCCTCTGGGTTACCCCCAGTCTGATCCACCTTCTCTATGACAGGATGTGGCCAGAGGAAGGAAACATCTACCACCTATTCATACCTGACACGTTCACCACATACTCACCCCGAATGTCTACCAGGGACTAGTTACTTGGGAGACATACCTCCCCCCTCATCCCCACCCCGCCCCCCCGGGAACCTGCATCCTATACCGGTGTTCAGGGTCTGCTCCCTTAACCTCAGCCAAGTGGGTGGAGAGCTATGGGACCCTGCCCACCAGGCACAGATATGCTGTCCCAAGAATGTGACACCTGGGGACCAAGAGGCCCTGGTCAGTCTCTGTTGCCCTGAGAGGCCATGTGTCATGTATCGGGAATCCACGCCGGAGGCTAACACAGAGAGAAGACAGGACGAGGGGCAAGAGGCCCCAGAGCGTCTGAGAAAGCACCTCTGACGCCCTGTGAGATCTGAGACATTTCCTGGGGCCTTGGGGCACAGCCTGCATTCTTCCAATAACCCCTTTTTCATACAAGCTAGTTTGAGTGGATTCGTGGGGAGCGCTCCAATAGTTACATTAGCTCCTACTTTACACGTAATAAGACTGAGGCTCAGGAAATAGACGGCCAAGGCTACAAGCCCAATTAAAGTGTCAGAGCTGTTCCAAAGCCAAGCCTACCTGACTCCACAGCTCCCCTTTCATGCCACAGCAGAGCCCCAGGATGCTAAGGGCCAGACCATCAAGTTCCCAGCCTTCCCCCTTCCCTTCTCTGGCTATGGGGGGTTAGTTCTGATGGTCAGCTTCCTGAGGTCACCTCCCTGGCCTCTGGGCACATCTGGGAACTAGGTCCTTACCTTTCCTGAGAGGTAGTTTGCGGTTGAAGGTCAAGGGCAGCACGAGGAAGCGGGTCTCCCCTACGGGTTCCCAAAACTGAAGCAGTCGAACCGTCCAGGCCCCCGGCCGCAGGGGCCGGCTCAGTGGGGGCTTGTACTGAGTGACCTCGGTCTCTGCGTCGACCATGATGTCGTAAGACGTGGCCACCACGTAGGTGGGGTCGATCCACACCACGGTGGCGGTGAGGTTGGGGCCCCGGGCCCAGCGCTGCATGGCCACAGGCTCATCCAATGGTCCCAGCAACCCCCCGAAGTTCCGGAAAAGACGCTCTTTGGGGTCCCACTCGGTCCCAACCTGTAAGGAGGGAGGCAGATGGGCAGGAGCCTGGGGAAAAGTCCTTCTCTTTGCTCTGATGCTGCCTCTAACGCACTGTGTGACCTCGAGCTAGTCACTGTCTCCTTCCGGGTCCCAGTTTCCCCATCTGCAAAATGAAGGTCTTGGACTAGACTTCTTTCTAGGCTCGAATTCCAACCTGCTCTGCAATGGCGGAGCAGGAAGGCAGATAAGGTTCCAGGCCCTGCCCACAGACCACCCCACAGGAAGCCAAGGCCTCCGAGGAAGAGAATGAGAGACACTGAACGGCCTCACCTATGGCCTGAAGGGAATGTCCAAGTCCCTCTAGAGCAGCGGTTCTCAACCTGTGGGTCGCGACCCCTTTGGCAGCTCCTCATGTTGTGGTGACCCCCAATTTCATTGTTACAAATTGAACATAATTAAAGCACAGTGATTAATCACAAAAACAATATGTAATGATATATGTGTTTTCCGATGGTCTTAGGTGACCCCTGTGAAAGGGTCGTTCGACCCCCAAAGGGGTGGCATTAGGAAGGATGAGAACCACTGCTCTAGAAGAAAGCCCTGGCAGTTTAGAAGATGAGTGTGCATTACAGCGGAACTAGTCCCCTCTCTGTGTGTCACCCCAGGGGGCGCTGCTCCTCCATGTGTGCATGCAGGGGGAGGGTGGAGGCCAGGCATGTGCACGAGGCGCCGCCAAAGCTGCCGTCACTGGGTAAGAAGGGCCCATGAACCCAGTCCTGAAAGGCCTAACCCAGTCCTTGCCCCTCCCTCAGTGTCTGTCCCTCTCTTCCCACTACCCTGAGTCTTGCTGGGGGTCAGATGTCGCACCTCCAAACTCTGGAGCCGGCTGGCCTGGTCACTGCGCCCCAACAGCTTCAGCGACCCCTGGGGCATCAGCCACATCTCAAGCGTCTCTGCCGGCCCCTCCGCTGAGGACTGCACCTCCTGCGTCACCAGGTAGCCCTGGAAATGGTCGTCATAGAAATACAGGTGCACGCTGGACGGCAAGCCCCTGGGCTCAAACCTAAGAAGGTTCCAGCAGGGAGAAAGGGAGATGCCATCAGCATATCCAACGTGGTCTGGAGTCCCAGGGAGGGGGCTCTGGGGGCTCCCATTCCCAGGTACTTCCTTTGCCCCAAATCTCACACCCACAGCACCTATGTGCTGTGTTTTCGTTGCATTTCCCCCTGCCTGAGACTGGGGCTCCCTGGGAGCAGGGGCTGTCTCTTTCTGATTGGCTTCCCCCTAAGTCACCACACCCTGAGGGCCTGCAATATGTCAGAAGAAGGTCTCACCTGCAGAGAGGGGTGGCCGGCGCGGGCGCAGTAGTGACGGCATGGCGTAGGCTGAGGCGGACAAAGGCGGTGTAAGCGGTGAGCATGACATCACTGAGCCCGCTGGGGCCATCGGCCGCGTCATAGGTGTTCTCCCAGTAGGCCTTGAGGGCGGGCGTGCCGGGCGGGTAGCTGCCATACAGGTGGAAGTCCAGAATTTCCAGGACCTCCTGATTCACAGTGGACTCAAACTTCCGGGCGAAGAAGGTGGGCCTAGAGACTTGCTGGAGGGGGAGAGCCAGCATGGTCAGGGGTCTGGAGGCCCCAGGGGCCCCCTCCAGCACCCCGGATCGGCCACAGTCACCCCAGAGCCCCGAGGGCAGCTCCAGGTGAAGGCCCTAGCTCCTCTGATTGGCCCACCCTGAGACCTTTCTGACCTGGCGAAAGGCCAGGGGCAGCGACTGGGGCCGGGGGAGCACCTGCAGCCGGAGGAAGTCCTGCGGCTTGAAGTCGTTGGGGGAGCAGCCGCACCAGTCCACGATGTGCTTGTACTGGCACTTGCAGCCCAGCTTGCGGTTCCAGTTGGTGACCCGCAGGTTGTTGTCCACGAGGCTCTCGCAGGCCGGGCTGTTCTCCAGCACCGTGTGGAAGAAGGACTGC